CTGTCTGAGTTTAATACAATAAGCATGTAAGGACAATACTTTTACCTATGGTGGGAGAAGCAATTGAGTAGGACTGGGTTTGATTAAAAGGTAACAGTATGATCCCTGTTTGACTTTAATACAATCTGTAAGGCTGTCAGAAATTGGCAGCTGTTAGTTGGCATGCATAATGTTATTTGCATGATGAAACTTCACTGCAGCTTTAGTTGCTTGAAACATACATAAAAATAAATTTCATTTGACAAGAAAATAAAACATCTATTGGAATAACTTTTGCCTGCTGTGATCTACATTGCTAGAGTATTAATTTTCTCCTCTCTTGACGAGGCTAAATAGCACAACACAAGACATTTTGAATGATATGATACACAAAAAAACTACCTACTAACCTTGCTAACTTGTGGAATAATTGGCTGTGTTGCATGCAACTTTGACTACCTGTCAAGTTGCACAAAAAAGTTTCATGCAAGTTTCAACGTGTAGAGCCAGGCTTACTGTAAGAAACAAAGCCCTTTTATATGTTGTTGCCATATAGTTTTTGTATCACTTTCAGTCTTGGTAAAGGCTAGTTTATCTTTTTTCAGTTAAGTGTTTTATAATCTTTGAAAGCCTGTGCATACTTTTTGTTTTTGCTCAGTTAAGTTTGTTTTATAGTTCAAGTCTCCTTTTGTAGCTAAATAATCAGTTGTCAGAATATTTTTTTATTATTTATAACAGATATGTGAAGCTTACATTGCTCTCTAATACAGACAAACATTAATAGGTACAGTCAAAATTACAGTCAATACAATCACAGACAGAAACTGTCACAAGACAAGTAAAGGATGCCTTATGGGCACTCTTCTAATGGGGCAATACTAAATCCTTTAAAGCTGATGCGATCACACACCAACATCGTAGCTGATGCGCATCCCACACCAACATCGTAGCTGATTTAGCTTTATTTATAATATGAAGTGATAGAATGAAATTCCGCTGGCTGTCCCAGCAGCCCCTCACTGTCATCAAATTCCGACTGAAGACCCACCTCTTTGTGAAGCCTTTAAATGAACACTAATCTAGCACTTATTGATCCACTATATGAACAAAAGTATAGGAACACCTACACATTACAACCACAGGAGCCTTTATGAAATCTCATTCTAAATCCATAGGCATTAATATGAAGTTGGTTTTCCCTTTGCAGCTGTAACAGCTTCCACTCTTCTGGGAAGCTTTCTACAAGATTTTGGAGTGTCTGTGGGAATTTTTGCCCATTTATCCGGAAGAGCATTTGTGAGGTCAGACACTGATGTTGGACGAGCGGCCTGGCCCGCAGTCTCTGTTCTAGTTCATCCCAAAGGTGTTTGATGGGGTTGAGGTCAGGGCTCTGTGCAGGCCAGTCAAGTTCTTCTACACCAAACTCACCCAGCCATGTCTTTATGGACCTTGTTTTTGTGCACTGGGTCTCAGTCATGCTGGAACAGCAAATGTTCTTCTTCAAACTGTCCCCACAAAGGTGGAAGCGTACAATTGTCCAAAAATTCTTGGTCTGCTGAAGCATTAAGATTTCCCTTCACTGGAACTAAGGGCCAAACCCTGAAAAACAACCCCATAGCATTATCCCTCCTCCACCAAACTTCAAAGTTGGCACAATGAAGTCAGGCAGGTAATGTTCTCCTGGCATTCACCAAACCCAGGCTCATCCATCAGACTGAGAGACAGAGAAGTGTGATTCATCACTCCACAGAATACGTTTTCACTGTTCCAGAGTCCAGTGGTGGCACTTTACACCACTCCATCTGACGCTTGGCACTGTGCATTTTGATCTTAGGCTTGTGTGTAGCTGCTTAGCCATGGAAACCAATTTTGTGAAGCTCCTAATACGCAGTTCTTTTGCTGATGTTGCTTCCAGAGGCAATTTGAAACTCTTTAGCAGGTAATTTAACAGAGGATAGGCACTGTGCGCTTCAGCACTCGGCGGCCCCGCTCTGTGAGTTTGCGTGGTCTACCGCTTCGTGGCTGAGCTGTTGTTGCTCCTAGATTCTTCCATTTTACAACAACAGCACTTACAGTTGATGGGGCAGATCTAGCAGGACAGACATTTCACAAACTGACTTGTAGCATAGGTGGCATCCTGAGACAGTGCCTTGTTTAAAGTGCCTGAGCTCATCAGTACGACCCATTCTACTGCCATTGTCTATCGAGACTGCAAGGCTATGTGCTTACTTTTATCCACCTGTTAGCAATGGGTGCAGCTGAAACACCTGAATTCAATAATTAGGAGGAGTGTCCCAGTACATTTGTCCATATAGTTTATGTCTTGTGTTTGCACTTATTTCTATATTATGTGTCTTTATAGGTATCAGCACTGACTCTCATTTCTGGCAGAGTGTTATTTATACTAGCTAGGATACATTCTCTGAGTGGACGACAGGGCACATTTGTAAGTCACTCGCTGTAAATGTGAATGCAACCCCAGTCTGATGGCACCTGAAGATTGGTGGGCAAGTGATAGATGTGATGTTTCATTGGTCTTCGGCAGTGCTATACAAATATGAGAGAGAGAAAAAGAGAGGCAGGGCCGGGGAATAAGTGCAATAAAAGAAACGCTGGAGTCCGTTTGCTCCTCTCATGTTGTTCTCAATGTCTATTCAGGCTCAAATCTGCAGCAGAAATAAGTCTCATGCTCAGCCAATCATTCACTCACACACACACACACACACACACATCAATGCATTGTCTAGCACTCAAATAGTTCTACACACAACTACACATTTGTACATACATTCTCAGTGATTAGCTCACTCTCAATTACACTCAAGCACTCAAGCAGAAATGACCATGAAATAAACAAACACTCTCTGTCTCCATCTCTCTCTCACTCTCTTTCACTCTCACACACACCATCATTCAGAGAAATAATGGGACTCGAGTGTATTGTCAGTATTTGAAAAACTTTATTGCAACATGGTAATTTTGTTGTAAGATTGTGACAATTGAGAATAAATTATTATTCATATCACTGAGACCCAAATAACACAGAGCTTTCAGGACTCCTACTTTACATACACTGCATGTAGAAGTCCAGCAGACATGCTAGCCTTTGTTTGTGTGCAGCTTCTTCCATGCTCATATTCAGTACTATGCAAAAGTCAGAGACCACTCTTCATTTCTTTTATTTACAGTCAAAACGACCATAAAGGACAAGTTATTCATTATTTTTTTGAGTGTCAAAAAAGATATAGGATTCATTCTCCATTTGGAGTGGGAAACCATGTCGCAAAGGTTGCAGGGCTTAAAAAGATGCTTAAAATATTAGGCACAGCTCCAGAAGTCGGTATGTACATTTAGACAGTTGACCTAAGTTTAGATAATATTTTTCCCTTATTATTTCTCTGATTTTTCTTTTTTTTTTATCCAGTTTCATCATCACTCTACAAATGTGAAACAGCTCATCACAAACCAATTTTCAACATTGGAGAAATCATTTTTAATATAAAACAGTATTTTTAAGAGGTTTAAAAAAGGTTTAAAAAAATCATTAGTCACAGAGATTTTGGTCACTGGTGTTATCAGGACTCTTATATGACATTTTAACACAGTATTTTCAGCTCTATTGAACTGCTTGTTTGGGTCAAAACCCATCAGAGAGGAAGCATCGCAAGGCATGAGAAGGCAAGTTCACACTTGCTCACTATTTTTCATTAATTTATTAATAATTTTGTTTATCAGGCAGCACATAACTTCTGTGTGTCACCAGTATTATGTGCTTTAATGGCTGGGTAATTAAAGTTTTGTCAAAAAAATGCCAAATATAATTTTCACTACTGATTTTAAATAGTTGCACAATGTCATCTGACCACCAACGAGTTAGTCAATTTACAGAATCCTGAGTTTTAACCAGAATGTCACTGGAGTCACAGTCACTGGTGTTATATGAATATGGTGTAAAATATGTTTGGAATTAAGCTCTCCTTTTTGCATGTATGATAATAGGAGATGTTAATGGACATATTATTTAGTTTTGGGATGAAAAATTGTTTGTTTGTTTTTTTTGTAATGTATCCCCCTGAATTCCCTCTCCAAATGTAAAATGACCCAGATGGCTGTTGTTGGAAGAAGACATAATTTGAAAATGCCTGTTGTCCTTTCCATTGTGTGTAAAGTTCATGATGAATGGACTAAAAGAAACGGCCCAAAATGACTTGGACAAAAGTCTGGTTCCATTGACTTGCATTAAAAGTAAAGTAGGTTTTTCCCTTCTCCTGTAAAGTTACTATTTTGGAGATACAAAATTTTCTTTTGACAACAGCGATATGACAGAAAATTACACAGAAGCTGCAGCGCCTGAATGATATCATTTCTTTCTGTATTTTGTATGTCTACCCTTTGCTTTTATTACAGCTTCCATTCTTTTTGCTTTCAGTTTTTCAAACCAATCTGCAGGGATGTTTTCCCGTACCTCTAAAGTTCAGTCTAAGAAGTTGGTTGCACTCTGTGCTTTTAATGATCCAAATAATCCCAAACATATTCTATGATGTTAAGGGATGGACAGTCCATAGTTCTGAGAGCACCAGCAGCAGCCTGTTTTCTCAGTAACACCTTCTTGACAGCTACACATCCTTTCAGACCCATAGTGTTGAGCAAGCAGATGATTTTACGTAGAATCACCTCAGAAATATCTCCTGAATAACTGAATGGCCATCTTGACTGGCTATTAAATAAATTGACGGTGGTCTCTGTCTTTTGCACAGTACTGTATTTCTCAGGTCTGTATTCTGATTCTTGATATTCACTGAGTGCATAAGCAAGACATGAAATGACAAAGGAAAAATGTGATACATATACAAGAGAAATAATCTTTTTCTTGCAAATCACTTTGTAGGTGGAAATTTTTGTAAACAAAAAATAAATAACCGACAGCTTTATCTCACACAACTATCATTGAAATGCAGTGTAATCTCTCTTTCTCTGTCTCTCTCTGTCTCTCTCTTCCTCTGCTGTGTTGTCTGTCATAGCCTGTTTCTGGACCAGTACAGAGCCAGTCTGGTTGATGCTCTAAGGAGATTACTGCGACCTGATGTAAGTATGTGTGAGTGTGCATGCGTGTACTCTCAGTAATTAGTCACTGCGTAGTGATTGGGTGAGTAATGGAATGGTCGGATTAATATCTTGTAATACTTTAATACTTATTGTACGTAACTTGAATTGGGCTTTCTGGCCTATTTGATGCTCTGCACTAATCATAAAGCACACAACTTCTCCTCCCTGGCCCTGTGATAAGACCCGCCGCTGCCAGAGCCACGGCAAATGAAAAAGCTTCAAAGATAGCAACAGATTTGTATTTATCTTCAAGGTTTTTTTTCAAGTACAGCCTTTGATAGTGGATGTCTTTATATTAAAAAAGGGCAGAGCTCTCTCTCTCTTTCTCTCTTTCTCTCTCTCTCTCTCTCTCTCTCTCTCTCGCTCTGTGTCAGTGTTACAGCTGTGTGATCAAGCACATGCTGTGCAGCCCCAATGATCATTGTGATTTTCATGTTTATGTTTACATCTCTCTCCATCTCTCTCTCTCTCGTTCTCTTCCTCTCTTTCAGTAAATCTCTCCTTCTCTCACACTCCCTTTCTCTCTCTCATTCTCTCTCTTGCTCTCTCTCCCATTCTCTCCCTCCCTCTCTCTCTGCTTGTCTCCATCCCTCTCATTCTCTCTCTCACATTCTTTCTTTTCTCTCCCCCTCTCTCTGTTCCTCCCTCACTCTTTCTTTTTTCTTTTTTGCTCTCTCTCTCTACCTCTCTCACACACTCTTTTGCCCTCTCTCTCTCATTTTTGCTCTCTCCCTTTCTCTCCCTTTTTTCCTCTATGCCCTCTATTTTTTTCTTTTCTTTCTCTATTCTCTCTCTCACACTCTCACCTTTCATCTTTCTCTATTTCACTCCTTACTTTCTGTCGCTGTCTTCTCCGCCTCTTTTCCATCTCTCTCTACCCCTTATTCTTTCTTTCTTTCTTTCTTTACTCTTATTCACGCTGTCTTTCTCCCTCTCTCTTTCTCTCTCCTTTTTGTTTTTCCATCCCTCTGTCCCCCCTCTCTCGCTCTCTTACTCTTTTTTTTTAAATAAAGACCCTCACATATCCATACAGTTGCACATTTCAAAGGAGCTGATCAGTGATAGCTCTTCCTGCCGTGTAATGAATTAGGCTTACGGTTTAGGTGATGAAACGTTGGCTGATTATATCAAACACACAGTCCTCTCATCCCTGCAATAAAAACGATAACCCACTCAGGAATGAGAGAGATCTGTTTTTTCATGATTAAGACAGCTCTGGATAGAATATCATTAATGGCAGTGGCCAGCAGTCTGGCTGTGGTGGCCAAATGTCTGACTGCACTCAGGAAATCCAATTAATTTTCCTTTTAATGACTCTTGTTATTATAAAATGAAGTTGGACCAGTTGTCACATTTACACACACACTACACAGATTAACACAGCTGTGAGTGTGTGTGTGTGTGTGCGTGTGCGTGTTTCTAGCACACATCCAAACTTGAATTAAACACTAATGAAATATAAAAAAGAAAAAAAAAAGCAGAAGTGAGCCAATCCAGCGCTTGTTTTCACGTTTGTTGTTTGTTTGTTTCATTTGGACTCAGCCCACCATTTAATTAAAACAATAATATGATCAAAAAATATGAAATAATATTTAAAGCCGAAGGATTTCAAAGAAACTTTGAACCTTTGGGTAATCCTCTTAGCACGGCTGGCCGTCCAGGGCCCGTTGATCTATAAAGGGTGGGGATGCGCTTGCAGCCATTGATTGGATTAGGTGAGCTTTAATCTTTTTGTTTATTATCTAATATAATACCTGGGAGAAATCAAATAGAATGTAATGATGCAAACCACCACTTGCGGTGAGCCTTGTTTGATGGTGTTTCTGAGCCGCTGAGAGGAGGACGGTGGGCCAGGATGGAGACGACACAGCCGGATTGAGCTTAGCTCTTTAATCAGTGCTCATCACTTCATTCTGCAAGTGAAACTGCTGCTTTTATTTACAGAGGGAAACTTAATTTCAGCCGGGCTTTACTAATTATGAATTATTTTGACTTACTTTACCGTAATGGTAGAGTGTTGTAAGTAGTGTGATGTCTGATGCTATTGAGGTTGTATATTGGAGATCTTTTTCTCCAATCAGTATCATTTATCTCTGGGAAGATACTCATTCTCAAAATTAAAATTATTATTTTTTTACTCACAAGTCAGTTTAGTATTTCACTGCTGGTCTTCGGACTAACAAAGCTTGGAATGGATGTTTATTTAGAGCAGGGGTGTCAAACACAACCACTAAAAGGGCCATATTGAAAAATCTCAATCAGTGGGCCAGCTGTGTTTTTATTTCATTTTTACTTAACATTTTGCCATGACCCAAACTGGCCATTGTTTATTCAAAATATGCCAAAACTACAATGGCAAATAATAGGCACTGAATACTTAAATGATTAAAAAATGATGTTAAATAAAAACAAATTGTTTCATATAAAACAATAGACTACATTAGCTGTGGACAACTGTTAAACCTTTTTAAATGTCCCCAGTGTACAGCAGCGTTTTTAAAACTGCCCATTCGCTTGAACTAGACACCTGGCATGTGGTGCTGTCCCATAGATCATTGTTTGGGAGGGGGTGGGAGCCCACGTTACATTGCAGTGCATGCTGGGAAATGTAGTGCAGTTCATGGTGAAATGGGCTAATATTCATAGAAAATTAAAATGATTTTGCGGGCTGAATAGGATTGTACCACAGCCCTGACTTGGCCTGCAGGCCTTGTGTTTGACACATGGGATTTAGATTGTTTACTTATAACTTGGAATCAAATGAAAAACAAGCATTTGTTGATAATAATAAACTGAAGTAAATAATGTTTCTGGTGTATGTTTGTGTGTGTGCATCTCTGTAGGGCACAGCTTTAGTGTTTGCACCTACGAGGGGAGACACACTAACAGAATTCTGCAGACTGGCGGAGAAAGTGGGACTGTTTGTGTGTCGCTATGACAACTATGACTCGCACATTTGGGACCTGCACTTGAAGGTGAGTCTTAATGAACTAAAACTTGTGTGTGTTTTTACAGAAACTGAAAAGGCAAAACCTAAAACAATTTTATATACACACTGGGCCAAAGCACTGTGACCACCTGCCTATTATGCTGTTGGTCCTTCGCATACTGCCAAAACAGCTCTGACCCACAAAGGCATGGACTCTGTGAGACCTCTGAAGGTGCCCTGTGGTATCTGGCACCAAGACATTAGCAGCAGATCCTTTAGGTTGTGAGGTGGAGCTGCTGTGAATCAATCTTGTTGTTCCAGCACATCCCACTGCTGCTCGAATGGATTGAGATCTGAGCAAATTTGGACACCAGGTAACACCTTGAACACGCAAGCTTCTTACATTGCTCCAAGGTCCAGTTCAGATACTTGCAGGCCCAGCAAGCACTTTTACGTTTTTTTGATGGTTAGCAGGGACGCTCTGACCGGTCTGCAGCTATGTAGCCCCATATGCAGCAGGATGCAATGTGTGTTTTGTGACACATTCCTCCTGTAACCATCATTAAAAATGACTTGTGCCACAGTAGCCCTTCTGCCGGTTCAGACCAGACAGAATAGCCTTTGCTGCCCTCACACATCGATGAGCCTTGGCACCCACAGCTCTACTGTTGATAGTTTCTCCTGAATATGTGGTGCTCAGAAGAGGCTGGAGTGAAACATTTTCTTCTCTAATACAACCTTTTATAATAAAAGAGTAAAATACTGAACTGTTAGATCACAAGTACACTATGTGCTGGAAGCTCTTTGTGTCACCCATGTAGTTACTTGTGTAATTGTGCAGCCGGCTGGTTAAATGAAGTTAAATGGAGATTAAGTCAGTTTTTTTGACATATGACGACTGTCATTTGATGTACCTCTGGGGGTATGCATACCACAGTTTGGGAACCACTGCTGTAGAGGATGTGTTAACCATGGGCCATATTCAAAGTTTGGACCAATTAAAATTGTACACGGGCTGCATTTGTCCTGGGGGCTAAACTTAGGACACCCCTGGGCTAAGAGATGTGTTTATTTCTTCCCTGATGCTTATAAAGTTTTGGATGAAACTCTTTAGAAGTCCACACTCACAGCTCGGTTGCCAAACTATTGACAGGCGGTGATTGCCTTTTGCTGGTGGGACTTGACAACAGTTAAGAGAGGCTGGAAAAAGGTGATGTGAGCATGAACTGCAATTGTTTTTGCTATGTAAAACCACACTAACAAACAGTGCAGGACATGAACCCTTTAAGTTATCTCTTGAATAAAGTCACTCAAACCTCCAGCCATTGAAAAGCATAGTTTTGCTGCACTTACATGCTCCAAACTCTGAAGGTGCTGTTTATCGTGCGTATGTGTTTCTCCATCTCCAGCACTCAACCTCAAATGAAAACTTCTGACAGGTCAAACTCCTAAGTAAGTCCGAGCACAATGACGGGACATAAAAATGAGTGCTGGCCACTGCCCATGTCACCATGCCCATCAGCACAGTGGCTGGCCGGCAGTGGCTGTGGAGTCCAGCTGGTTAACTAACATTGACAGGATGGCTATGGCTGCCATTTTTAACTGTGGAGGAAGCTGTCAGGACCCATTAGGCCCCGAGGGCCTGACGGGTGGCCCTGCCCATGCCTGAGGAAAATGGGCCTGCCAGCAGGACCCTGGCACTGAGTGATTTGGGCCTTTTTTTGTTCATGGCCCTTTGAGTGGCCACTCTACCAGCGGCTGTGTGTGGCCAGAGGCAGGTGCTTGCGAAAAAATGGTAAGCAACCACTGGGGCTGCAGGGTTGGAGAGAGTGAATTTAGAGCTGTCAGTGGGCAGAATGAGGGAGAGAGACAGATGTGAAGCTGAAAGATGGTTAAAGGCGAGAGGGAGAGAGAGTTGGAGAGGGAGAGAGAGCTGTTTTCATTGTGCCTTTAATGTCCTTGCCCAGAACCTCATAATACAATGACTAAAGAGTCCCTGTATTATGCTGCCGTGGATTTATCTTTCACATCTCACTCAGTCAGCTAACTCAGAAAGGAATTGTGTGGTGAAATCATTTCAAAGTCTAATGTTGGACCTCTTCACTGTCCACATGTAATTATATTAACACAATAACTAAAGCACCTAGAGTGAATACCCTTTAGAGTGAGTAGTGGAATGGGAAACTGTGTGTGTGTGTGTGAGTGTGTATATGATGGAAATAAAAGATTGATGGATAACAGATATTACGTTCTGCATACTAAGCAAGTTTGGAAACCTTGTGCCATTCCACTTCCTCTCATATTGTTTTCACTATCTGCCTAAAATTGTTATTTATTCTGTTTTTGTATTTGTATATAATGTATTACATTACATTTACCTTACATTTCTCCTCACACCTGTATTTCGAAATTATGGGCAAACAGACGGGAAGTGTCATTCATTACGAAGTCAAAGAAAGTGTGTTTACCTTTTAATTTATCAATATATGCTCCATGAAATGTCTCAGAGGCATTCTGGGACAGTGTGCAGTTTGCACCTGACATCACAGCTGAGTAAAAATGAAAGTTTGGCAAGAACAGAAGTGCTTCAGAGCAAATACATGTGGCTTCATAATGACTCTGTGAATTTTACATTTTTATATTGTACCTGGCTCTCAGTAGCCACGTTTACATGGAGCTTAATAACCCATTAATAATCTGACTAATAGCTCAATCGGAATAGAATTACGTCCCTGTATACACCTCAATCAGAATAGACTAGTCTGATTGAAGCCATTAGGAATACAGTTTATTAGTTGTGTCTCATGGTGTCAACAAAACTCATAGCTTATGTTAGTGTTCTTCAGAGGAGGCGTGATAAATCACAGTTTACCTTGCTGGTTAATTGTTCAGAATGATGGAGAACTGCGCTGAACCAGGATGCAAAAATAAATGGAGAAAAATACAGAGGAAACACGGAAGTGATCCTGGAGTAATATTTTGTTTTAAAAATATGTTTTAGGCCATAAATTTACAACAAAACTATCACAAAACAATGTCTCAAGTATTAAGCAACACATTCATAACCATTTTGTGTAATAACTTAAAGGGACATGGCTTTTAGAGCCATTAATGCTTCGAATGTCTGGTTCCTAGTACTATAATGGTGAACAATTCTGACTCTGTAAATTTCTCTAGGAAGGGGCTTTTCACACGAACCACTCTGAATGACTTTGTTTACATCTAAACCATTGAATGGTTGAGTTCCACTTTAAGTGAGTTGTAAGAGCAGTGGGACGACAGCACAGACACCCTCAGATCTGCACCTTTTATCTACTTAGAAAAACTAATTACCAAAAGCTCGACTAAGTTACAAACGAGTAGGTATGACCACTGACTGGAAGGTTATTCCAAAGCCGCGGGGCTTTGTATAAAAAGGCTCTACCCCCTGATGTAACTTGATTAATTCTTGGTACTAATAGTGAGCCAGCACCTTGTGATCAAAAATTGCACAAGACACATTTAATGTTTTTTTTTTATTATTATTATTTTATACAGTAATTGTGCATTTTCTGTAGAGTTCTCTGTAGAGGATGTATTAACTTTACTTTTTTATATGACTCGGGGCGCCCAAACCTTTGCATACGACTGAAAGTATAATCTTCTGACTAAAGCATTTCTTGCATGTTCAAGTTTCTGTTGACACCTCGATCACAAACATCAGCACACAGGCATTCAAACATCCCAGCAATATATAATTTATATATTTATTTGTTTTACATTAATTATATATTTATATGTTAGCATGTTATTAGCATTTAATAAATTATCTGTTCACACTTTACCAGAAGTTCTGTCCATCTGTCGCTCAAAGCATCATGAGGTGTAGGAGTAAGGAGGATATGAATGTAGCATTCTCCCTGAGTTACACCTGCAAACACACACACACTGGCATGGTGCACCTGAAGGCTGATGGGGGCTTGCTGCACAGGAAACAGGACCACCTACTGTGCCACTGTGTGGATAATGATGATAACAGTGAGGGGCCATGAGAGCTGAGTCAAGTGTTCTACTACTGCCTCTGTGTGTGAGTGTGCCTTTGCGTGTGTGTGAGAGAGAGAGAGAAAGGGGGAGAGAGAGGTTTTACATGCACATGAGTGTGTGTGCTTCTTGGACATGTCAGCAGGATATTACAGCTGTGTGTGTGATAGCAGGACAAAGTGAAGTGGCCTCATCATATCTGAAGGTGATTAAGGCACAGTTCTTATCTTCTGATGAACACCCAGACTTGTGTGTGTGTGTGTGTGTGGTGTGTGTGTTTGTTTTCCTACATTTTCAGGGCAGAAATGTCCAGACTTGGGGTTTGGTTTAGGTCTAGGCTTACAAAAGTCTTATTATATATAGTTACATATTGTTACTGTCTTATCAAAGTCCTATAGTTTCACTGGACAGCTCAACACGCTGGGAGCAGAATGCTAACTGCTAATTCTGTCATGTCACTTATGGGCAGAAGAGAAGAATGTATATACTATTAAGAACTGGTGGTACCAATCTTTAACAGGTACCAACAGAGCTTCGGCACAGCTTTCCGTGGCCAGGAGTCCAAGAGAGCAAAATGCAAAATCTTGTATCTCCAAAATGGTAACTTTACAGGAGAAGCAAAAAACATACATATTTTAATGCAAGTCAAAATAACCAGACTTTTTCCCCCCCAAGTCATTTTGGGTTTTTTCTTTTGGTCCATTCATTGTGAAACATACGCACAATGTAAAGGGCAACAGGCATTTTCAAACTAAGTCAAAAACTGGAAAAATGGTGATACAAGGTTTTGTTCCGACAGCAGTGATAACTGTCTTTGCTTTCTCTGGGTGGGTGGGACAGCCCTCGCTCAACCACCCAGTCCCACCCCAACATCCAGTACAATGCTTGCCAACATGGCATCTGTTAACTTACATCACAGACTGATTAGAAAAAATAGTGAAAGAAAGATGAATAAGAAAGATTCTTAAAGTGTGAGGATGATATATGAAATAAACTTAGATGAGGTGAGAGAAAGAAAGAGAAAGG